ATTCAAAAACCTCCTCTCACAAGTGCTAATAATTAATAGGGTGCTTTGAACTTCACTGAAAGAAAAAATGTTGGGAGGCTTGAGGTAAGTAACTTTTCAAAGCTTTGATTATTCGTCAAAGAAAAAACTGTTTGAAATATGGCTGGGAAATGGTAAACCATTCAGAAATGGCAGCTGGAACACCCAACACATCCCTGTTTCTTTCTTTTTCAGAAATTATGTCTTCTGGCTGTATTAAGCCTTCATTAGTATTTCTCAGGTCTCCTTATATGGTAAATTATATAATAGAAATATGATCAAAGCTCTAAGTACCAAAAATATATTAGCAGCTCTTCTTCGACAGACTTTTCTAGTGGGGATTGTTTCTACCAGATAACTGAAAAAAAAGTTGGAAATTAGTTGAATATCAGCCTACTGGCAACAGAGTTTAATGATTATTATTTTTCTGCAGCAAAGAGAGGTAATTTCTATATAGATCTTGAACAAATATTTCAACTTAAGCACTAAAAACTGAAGCAGTTCATGGTCTTACAAACTGCCTCAAACTTACTAACAAACCTTTCTCTACTGTTCCCTGGACTTCCAACTGCTCAGGCTGAAATGTACTGATGCGATCAGTAAGTTCTGGCAAAAGTGTTTGTTGAGCAAAACACATTTTAGATTTGTTTACAAATCCATCCTGCAGTACTTTACAAACAACAGCAAACAGCTCTTTCTGCTGTATGAACACCTGCAAGGCTGGGCCCAGTCCCCACACAGTTTTCCACTGACGTTGAAAACCCCCTCATGTTGATAGGAGGAGACAGTGGGCAGATCCCTTTCAGCATGAGGACTGCAATGTCTTCTCCCAAACACTGGAATTCAATGAATAAGCTCTATTATATACACTTGAAAATGCAGAAATCAGGACAATTCAACTGAAGAAATTAGGTTGGTCTGGAGGATCAGAAGTAACACTGATCTACAGTGTTATTTTAAAGACCAAGATCAAATAATATTGTTCAAGTAATTAGCTGGTTTCTCCTGTTTTTAATTTCTTCATGATAAATCCAGTGAATCAGAAGTTCCAGTTATCAAAAAAGCCTATAGAGACAAATAAATGAGGTTCTTATTTAGTTCAGCTTTTTATTTAACAATTAAGGCCACCCTAAAAGAAAGCAGTATGTTCTTGATAGTAGAATGTTTTCATGCCATATATGACTAAATATTTTAAAAATAATAACAATTCTTTTTCAAAAGAATAATCAAAACTTTAAAATGGTCCAGGTCAGCACTATCATATTAAAATCCATCAGAAAACACTGCCGAACTTACACAGCTGTTCTATTGGCCTCTCCACTGTTGCAGATCTCTGAAATAATGACCTCAACACTAAGTGGATTAGATGCACTAATTACTACCCAAATTTGGAGTGAGGCTTCAGCATTCAACAGTAGTTTGCAGCTTTCCTCCCTTAGCCAGGTCACAGGCCAGCTGGGAACACTTTGAAAATTCTAACCATTCCTAATATAAAATGTGACTTGACATCACTCTGCAAGGTACCCATCATGACATGTAAATAAACATAAAAAACTACACATTCAGCTGGAAATCTGTTTATTCTGATAACAAGGATCTTTGGTCTAAAGACATATATTTATGTCCTGTCCAGTACCGTGAGTAAATGCCTTTTCTTGCTTTCACTATGATTTCAGTGATGATGACTCAATGAAATATCAGAAATACTAACATCCACAAAATGACTACCAACTGTGGAATAACACATATTAGAGCTGTCAATCCAGGCTAATGTGCAGTTGCCTGAGACATAAAACTATTACAGAACTTGGAGATAACCTGCACCTTTTGATCATTCAGGCCTCTAGAAGCAAGTCCTCTGAAGGTAATTCAGATGCCTAGAACAGAAACCTGGGGAGAATGAGATAATTAGTGAAATTCTAAATTTTAAAATACTTTCATCTGGTTCATGGGTCAAAAAATTTAGTAAATGCATGAATATTCTGTACTCACTTTGACCTAATCCTAAAGCTTCCTTAGGGAAGCCAATAATGTCCTGTTTGCTACAAAACTGGAAAAATAACACTGATCTGGTTTTGAAGAAACTTAACCAAACTTTCTTTCTTGCTGTGTCCTTGTCTCTTCCCAAAGTTTAAGACACCAAGGTCAGCAAAGCAGAATAACTGGAATTAAAACCAAGGAGCTCCTGAAAGTAACTAACTGGACTTAATGACTCTCACTCTCCTGCAGACTTTATTTGTGAAGATTTAAGCTGCTTTTAAGTTGGATTCCCAGCTCAAGACATGAAGAGTCTAGAAACCCAAACAGGAAAGCATACAAATTCAGGGTTTACTGCAAAAAGCTGATTTGAGCTGCTTCAAGAAAGCAGGTAGGACTACGGAGCCAACTGCAATGGGAAAATGATGGATTAACCCAGGGAAAAGTGAGCTGATTTGCAGCACTCTGACCAAACATCAGAACACAGAAACTATTTTAATGCATCAGACCAGATGTCTGCCTAGTCCAGCAAGGACAGCAGCAGATATGAACTCTGTAGTAGACAGGTGTGAGACAATCTACCTTCTCTTTTCAGTCCCAGTTTTAGTTGAAATACAGAGACTGACTTTAACCATGATACAGAAAATAATGCTGAGCCTGACAGCATTATAAAAGCTGATGGCTGAATTGATTTATTTATATGGTTTGAACAGTGTTCAGTCCTTCTGAAATGCATTCATTCTTCTTGCATTTGTGCAAAATGCCTTTTCCAGAGCTAGATTCCTGTATCTCCTAAAGACTGGTCTCGATCTGGCACATGATGAAGACACACTAAGCAGTCAGGAGGCACCAAGTACAAGAACGTTCCCCAATTTTGGTATGTGCTCAGCAACAGTGTCAGTGTCACCTGGCACTAAGGGGACAAAAAAGGTTCTTTGGGGGATTTCCCAAGGAAAGAATCTGCCTGTAACCTTAATGTCAGCTGACAGGCAGAAAAAAAAAAACAAAACAAAGCACCCCACCTTTTTTTTTCTTCACAGCCTACTTTCCACGTCCTTCCTTAAAAATGGGCCGAGATCACAAGCTTGCTTCCCCTTCTCTGTTTTGGGTCTTTTTCATGTCTTTGTGGTTCTTCACATTTTTAATTCCATGTCTAGTTTTCCCAAAACAGAAGGACCTTCAGATTAAACTGGCAAAATGGCCAGACAAACATTGCAAAACCTAAGCAGACCATGTATCAGGACATGCAACTCAACATGATTTCAGCACAAGCTAAAACACAACATTTATGAGAAAATCACTCATTAGTCAGCTGCAACAGTTAGAAGTAGAAAAAGTTCTGGGCAACGTTAAAAATAAAAATATTGTAAGGCTGCAGATTCAAATAATACATCAGAGAACACAATGTGAGAGTAAGTTAATCTGGAAACAGTATGAAAGTTACCCTACATGTTAAAGTTATGACAAGGGCACAGGCAACAGTAATAGGCAGCAAAGCTGACACAGTCAGATGGCCACTTGGAAATTTGTTCCCTGATTCACAGCTCAGGCAGAGCTGATCAGCTGTGTTTAGTAGTGTTGCACAACACAGAGGATGCAAATGATCACCTGCCTCATGGACAAGTTTAATGTGCAACAAACTTCACAGTGTTGTTTCATGGGTTCATAAACAGCATGGCTGAACACAGGGAGTTCAGGAACTGTATGGCCAAACTCTTTAGATGTAGACTCTGTAGTACTGTTCCCCAGGAACAGAAACAGCATTTCACACACTTATCACTTTTTTCACCTTAAGTGGCCCAAAAATCCAAATCAGTTCTATGGATGATGCATATTCATTTGGAGCCACTTCTGTGGCTGAAAAGCAGCAGCACAGCAGCTAGCACAGCAGGCTGGGAAAATGAACTTCTGGTCCAGGAACCCAGATAATTTATGTGTGGTGCTGTGGGATATTAAATATTCAGCAAAACTGTTATCTTTGTTTCACCCTCCAAATGTTAATACCTCTAATTTTCATAACATATTTTGGGGGCTTTTATTTTCACGTGGGTTGGAAAAGACCTTAACTGTGTTTTGTTACAACAGGAAAGACCCCCCCGTACCTAGAAGGTCCTTATCATTTATTAGGAAACACAAAGCTTCAGTTTCACAGACGAACTTATCTTCACATACACAGTTAAAGCCATTGTTAATACATCCCGAATAGGAAGAACAACGCTTGCCACTTTAAAGAAATCCTCAGTATTAAGAGTAAGGGATGGGAGCTGTCGGGGGTGCTGGTCGCTGCCCCTCTGCAGCCTCCGGGTACTTTACACCTCCCGGACAGGTCAAGCAGCATCTGGAGGTCAACCCCCAAGCTATCAGCCTTGTGCTGCAGTTTCAGTTCCGGACCCGTGTCTCGACGGATTTTTTTTTTCATCCTAATTAAAGCAGGCGGACGTTTCTTGTGTGAGGGGAGCTCCTCTGCACCACTGGTTTGCTCTGCTCTTCGCCACCGCCACCTTCGCCCCTGCGCGGGAGGATGGAGGACAGGGCGGGAGGATGGAGCAGGGTACAGGCTGCCCCACCGTCATTCTCCGCCCAGCCGGGGCTCGGCCCCGCAGCGCCGGCCAGGTGAGCCTGGCTCTGGCGGGGCTCCGGCCCTCGCACGTTCCAGCCCACAGCGGGTCAGTCCCCCTCAGGCAGGGCTGGAGCGCCGGGGGCTCTTCCCTCTCTCCCTGCTTGAGCGAGCTTTCCCAATGACGACCTTTTCCCCGGCAAGACCCTCCTCACCCCCCATGGGAAGGGGCCTTGCCCTTCGCCACAGCTCCCCGGGCAGAAGCCTCTGCGGCGGCCCCTTCGCCACCTCAGTGCCCTCGGCCAGAGGCTCTCCCCTCCCTCTCCCCTGAGAGAAGGGCTCCGTCTCCGCACTCCGTTGCGAGCCAGGCCCCCTCTACCGCCAGAAGCCCCTGGAGAGGGGGGGCTCCCCCTCTCCCCCCGCCCAGGCGACTGCGGCTGGCACTGACCCGTCTCTGCCGTCCTGCTCCTCTCCGCCATATTTGTTGTCATTCCGCCACCCCCCCCACGCCGCCCGGCCGTCGCCATGGCAACGCGCGTCACCGCCACCGGGGGAGCCCCACGGCCCCCCCCCCCCGCCATGGCGGCGCGGACTGACGGCCTCCCCCGGGGACAGAACCCGCCCGGGGAGAGCCGCCCCCGGGACAGACTTCCCCGGGACAGCCTTCCCGGGACAGCCTTCTCGGGGACAGTGTGCCAGGGCAGCAGTGTCCCCTCCCTCCCTCGCCCAGCTCTGCGGCCGCCGCGGTGCTGGCGGGCGGGGCGTGAGGGGAGCACCGCCGGCCCCCGCCCCTCACGCAGCGCCGGGTCCCCGCCCGCACGGCCGCGCCCGCCCCTCCCCGCCTGCCGCGGCCGCTGTTTACCGGCGCTGCTCGGGCATAGAGGAGAAGGTTCGTTATTCGCTCCCCGGGGGCTGCTGCCACCTCGGCAATTACCGTCACAGCGCCCCAGGGGACAAGGCAGTGCCGGGTACCGGAGCCCCCTCCGGGGTGGCCCCGCCTGCGGGGAGTCGGGGTGGCCCCGAGGTGCTCACAGGGCACCGAGGAGGAGAGAGAGGCTCGTTACCACAGAATCCCAGAATCACTTAAGTCCAGCCACCATGTCAATTAAACCATAGCACTCAGTGTCAGGTTCGGTCTTGCCTTAAACACCTCCTGGGATGTTCACTCTGCCACCTCTGTGAGCAGTCCATTCCATTGCCTAATCACCCTTTCTGTGAAGAAATCCTTCCTAGTGTCCAATGTCCTAATGTTACAGAAGAGCACATCCCCTTCCACATAGATCAGGGGCGCAGAGGGCAGAGAGGTCTCTGTTACCCCAGGGGTAGGGAGCACATCCTCCTGCTCTGATTCCAGCCTCATGTACTGAAGCGCAGCACAGGCAGAGATGGCAAATTCATGTGTGTGTGACTGCCCCACCCTGCCCCAAAACTCAGCAGGTGAGTCTGGTCATGTGGCAGTTATGTCAACTTCTATTTTTTTTTTTTTTTAATTTCTTAAGGCAGCCCAGTGGGGAGTTTCATTATGTGCGCGAGTGTTGCCCGTCTGTCTCCTTGCCCCAGACCCAGCAGGTGAGCCTGACCATATGGCAAATGCAGTGACGGGGACGGGAGGGCTTCTGTGTGCGCGTGTTCGGGGCCCGCTGGGTGACACTCACCATGTGGCAAACACGGCGATGAAGGCTTTGGTGCAGAGGGGCTAATTATGTGTGCGAGTCCCAAGGGACCCGGCAGGCTGGGTGTGCTCATGCGTGTCTCTCTAATGCACGGCTCAGGCGGAAGCTCCATTGTGCATCCCCAACGCTGACAACGCCGAGCTCTCAGAAGCGAGGCTGGCCGTGGGACAAGCACAGTGTTACAAGCACAAGCATCAGGCCTAGAACCATGTATGTTTGTGTGTGTATATACACGGGCAGACACGGGGGTGAATGCACACCAAACTGGGTGGCTGCTAGAACTGGGAACCAGGGGGTACACGTGCAGTGCTAAGCAATGGAAATGGGCAGGACTGTGTTCATGGTTATGTACACGGGTGTTTGCCTCCTTGGATCCAGTTAATTAATGTAACCACTTCCTAGTGACCAATGACTAGTCAGTCAAACACTCCAAACTTAAAAATCAAGGCAGGTAAAATTGTAACTTCCTCCATCTAAGTTCTGTTCTTTAACATCACTTTACCTTTTTTGTCTTCCCATCTAGAATGTGCCTTTTCTGCTCCAGTTCAACTCCTCTTAACAAGACTCACATGGATAATACCTGCAGGTTCTACATGCTTAGATTTTTCTGTAGGGTCAGTTGCTTCCTTTCTCCCTGGAAAAGAGAAAGCCTGCTCATTTTGCAGCCCTGTTCATTCTTCATTCAGTTCATAATTCTCTGGTTATTTTTGCAGCATCTATTTTTGTGGTTTCCCTTCCTTTACTCTTTCTTTTTCAGTGGCATTTAGGCCTCTTTCCTTTAACTACTGCTCTTCACTCTCAGTATCTTACTTTAGTATTATATAAGTTAATTTAATATTACTTTAGCCACATTCCCGTGCCATGATAAAAAACCTGTCTGAAGGGGTGTACCGAGGGGGCTTTGTGGTAGGGTTACAAGATGCACCCTTGCACAAAATATTGGAGTGTAGGTCTGTTCTTTGCTCAGCAAAGCCATCTAGATCCAAGCTCTGAAAGAAATATTTTCTAGACTTTTCCCTCTGCAGTCTTTATAAACTATAGGTGGTCACTCGCATACTAAAAAGGTTGATTTGTCTCGCTGCTGACAGTGAGTACACTAAGTGCACACACCCCCACAGAAACATTCTCTGCCATACACCAGGCCAGCAGATCACCCAGGCCCTGTGCTCTTCCTTGTTTGTTGCTGGGCAAATGATCCAGGAACATCCCTCTTCAGAACATGCCACATACACTCTAATCTTTCTCTGCTTTTCTTTTAGGTTCCCTGATAGCCATGTCCCATCCCAGCCCTCCTTCAAATAATTTCTCACATTACTTACCTCTTCATTCCTTTATCTGATCTTTCCTTTTTTTTTTTTGTTTCTTTTTTAGATCTTACAGAGTTCTGTCCAAGTTTGCAGCTCTAGTCTAGTTTCTTATCATGTCCCCATGTCCCCTTATTCCCTTTGTTCTACTTGCTATTCCAGCTTTAGTGTCCCCTCATCCATATTTCATTCCTATCTATTAATACTCATATAGCATTTTTCATCTGTAAATTTCTAAGAATTCAGTGCCTGTGGAGAGACCTTCCATATCAGTGCTTCAGAGGACCTCTTTATCCACATTTCTCTGAGACTCGCTTCTATGGTGACCACAAATACTAATCCAAAGACCTTCTGCATCTAATTGCCAGTCGATTAACTCAAATACCTGCAAGAAGGTCTACTGGAATCGAAGACATTTGGGGGAAAGAACTTTCTCCAGTCAAATTATCTCTTCTGAGTTAACACACTTGAAAAACCTAGAAATGCCACACTCATTTTTTTTAGTCTGAGTTTAATGCTATGTTATAGTCACCTCACCAAGCAGAAGTGCTGTTAAATATAGATGATATGCAGTCTTTCCAAAAACAGTAAGATAATTTGACAAGAGAGAACTGGAAAGTTCATATAGAAAGTTCTCTTGGAAATAGAAAGATAACCGAATGGTGTAACTTGAATCAGGGCTGAAGAAGGAAAGAAATGGTTTTTAGGAGCAGCAGTTGCTTATTTTTATTTGCGCATTTTTAGAGCACCTGAGAACACGTTGAGGTGCTCTTTAGTACAAAGACATCTTTGGCCCTTGCCCTTCCAAAGCGAACAATCTGCTTTTGGACATCACACACCAACAAAGGACAACAGAACACTGTTGCAAATCACTGCTGCCCTGGTTATCCTCACATTCGCTGTTTCAGCCCTATTCCTTGTTCCAGCGGGTCCCCCCCCGCCCCCCCCCCGCCTCCTTCCGCATCTTGGCAAGCAAAAACTGCTCCACTTCTGTGGCTCTTTGCAGCTTATTCCCACCCCATCATCTTTTAATAGCCTATGGAGAAACCAACGGCTTCCCCCCACACATTTCATTCAGTAATAACTCTCTACTTGTTACATTTTCAAACCGGCACCTTCATGCTTTCCCTCGCTGCTGCTTCTCACTCCCACTCACCTAATTTTCCTCCTTCAAATCCCTCCCTAAAAATCTCCTATGCTGTGCTGTCTACTGAAGGAATGATAATGAATCGTCAGCTGTGTGCCAAGATGACTGTCTGTCATGGAGACTGTTCTTGTCTTACTCTCACGTGTCGGGATCCACTGCCTGTGTGGGACTCACAGTGACTTGAGGCAGGGCCGTGTTAGTTATGAGTCCTGCAACGGACCCTTAAAACTCACTGTATAAACAAACAAAAATAAACTGAGGCAATGGAAATAAAAATGGAAATGCTGGCCAAACCCAGGAAGCTTAGACAATATTTCAGTTATGATTCATCAGCTTAGGTGAATTTACATAAAAATTAATATGACTGACAACTCCCTTCATTACAAATATAGAGAAAGAAATTATTTTTCTAAATACGGATTTGTGCCATTTTTTTTTTATAATCTCTAAGGACTTAAGGAGTATGTTTTACTTTTTTTATCTGTGCTTGCATTTGAAACATTAGATATTCCATTGTTTGTTTATCTTTCATTTGCAGCCTGCAAGACTGTGGTGATTAAAGGACGTAAGAAAGCATAACAGTGCAAGAGCAAGGACTTGAAAGGAAAAAAGATTTCTGATCGCTTTTGTTTTAACATGAGGATAATTCAAATATGTTGAAGATCCAATGATTCCTGTTACACATTCAATACTTCTGATTCACCTAGAGGTGGCTGCTGTCAATACATGTCTGTTGAAACTCCAAAGATCTTCCAAGAAAATCAATAAAAATCCAATTTTACAATCTTGGTATTTTCAGAGTGTTTAAAAAATTGGCAAAAAAACGCCCTTTTTTATACATCACCAAAAAAAGACAGTAAGGTACATTATTGATTTCTCACAAATCGTTTTTAAGTGACTGTTAAGGCTGGATGCCGAATGAGAAGATGCAGCATTAGCACACGTTTGTCACCACACCCACGGTGTATGGTGGGGGACTTCAAAGTGAGGATTTAAAAATGCAGGTGTAATTGTGCAGAAATCATATAATTAACTTTTTTTGGTATCACTTTCCCTCTGTAGAAAAAAGTCGTGCAAGCATTCAAGTGTATATTCTATTGGTGCTTCTACTGTGACTCCTGTCAGAGAAAAGACCATGACAATGGTTCTGCTACAGGCAGGCCATCGATGGTGGCTGTGCAAGCAGAGCAGGTACATTCCAAATTAAAAGTAAGAAAACTGAAAAGAAGAAGAAAAAAAAAAAAAAAAAACAGAGAGAGAAAATCAAAAGTCTGGTCAGAGTTTTTAGCCAGGATGTTATGGTCTGGTGGGCTCAGACAGACAATTAAATCTGATAAAGAAAAAAAAAAAGCTAAAATGAAAAACCAAAGCCGAGACTGAGGTAGCAAAATTGAAGTGAATTTTCAACCATGCAGACATGGTGGAGGAATGCTATAATCTTATTATTGTAACCTTGATCCACTCGTTCTCCCAGCATTTATTGCTCTCATTAGTTATGTAATATCTAAAAGCACACTGTAATTTTTTTGTTGCAGGACAGTATCTTTAATGTATTCTGAACATGCCTAGTATAACTACAGAGGTTTATACAAAAATAATATTACCTCTTGGGGTTTTTTCTGTGTTATTTCTAAGCATAGGAAAAATTAAAATGCAGCAAGTCTGAAAAGGTCAAACTGTATCTCCCCTCATTCTGTGCATGATTTCAGAAATAATCTAAAAGTTATGCTGAGATAACTGATATGGAACTAGAGACACCATCATCACAAAACTTGGATCAATTTGTGCCCACACAGCCGAAGCATCATCTCATTTCACACCTGAAAATATTTTTCTTAATTTTACATTTTATAGAGATTTTGAACTGTTTGTTCCTAACAGTTTGTCCTCACAGACGTGCATCAGTATTGTGTAATTACACAGAGAAACCGTCAGCCCAAAGGAACCCAGCCTGTAAATGACAACCGTACTGTACGGGAGGTGAACGATATGTGACTCCGGGGTTTGGAATGCTACTTTGCTTTTCCACTCTTCCACAAGCTCTTCTGGGCTTGTAAAAGCAGGGGACTGCCAGTGTGCAGGGCTTTCTCACACACACACTCCTGCTCTCCCACTGCTCCTCTAAGCCAGGCAGAGCTGAGGAGGGTTTGCTTGCCAGCGAGCACCCCTGCCCTGCCTCTGACTAGGAAAGGAAAGGAAGGTCAGTGGCAGCCACCTGGGGTCAGAATGGAAAGAGAATTGTTATCCAAGGGCACAGGTAAACCCTTGCTATTACAAACTAAGACATCTAAATTCTTTTCGGGAAAAAACCTTCATTTTTCAGTTCCCATCAGAAGGGTGTACACACGTGTGTGATACAAATGCACTTCACCTGGGAAAGGTGAAGGGCTAAGTCAGTTCTCCTGGGATTTGAGCATGTGGATCAAGACAGTTTAGAATTTCAAACGTGAAGTATAATGCTAAGCTAGAATTCTCTGCCGCTCAGAGGCAGGCAGAACGGGCCAAAAGAATTTCTCTACACCGGAACCCTGCAATTCCCTGGAATCCCTCAGTGGGGAAAGCACTTTCTAGTGGTTTCTAATTGTGTAGCTGCTAAACATGCTCTGTTACTTTGCAGGTGCTCCCAAGGGGTCTTCATGCTCCTGATCCACTCCTGGTGGCAGAGATTACTACACCTATACTTAGAAATTAAAATATATGTTGTGTGATGTTTTAATATCCTTATTGGGAAATATTTATTATCTAAGTATTAGTTTTTCATTAATATTTCCAATATTATTATAGACATTTTCTAGACTCAGTCCTGTGTTTATATATACACATTTTATGCATTGCATTTCAATTACTTATAAACTCTACAGTTCTCCGCTATTTTTTAATACTTTTCAGCATTCACTCTGATAAAATTCTTTTAAGACAGACAGTGAACATCTGGAAAGATGAGAGGCACAACCAGAACTCGATTTCAGATTACCTGAACAATTGTTTGCTGTCTTGAAGCTGATTATTTGGCCCTCAACTGAAATTTAATTCTTTAAAGGAAAGGATTCATAATTGATTTAGGAACCATGGTAAATTCCAAACTTTTAAAATAAATTTATGATTTGTTATTAGTTGCAATTTCTCAAGGTACCAGTGGCACAGAAAAAGGAGCAGCAAATCACTGAGGGACAATCAGTACATGTAGCAGCTGGGAGAGAGGAGGTAAACTGAAATGGCAGGAATTTACTTTAGACTGCAAAAAGCTTATGTTAGCTAACACATGGTAACTAATACACGATGAAATCCCAGTGCAGAAAGGCCATTTTTAGTTATCACATTTGTTAGCAGATCATGGTAAACAGTTGGCTCACCCTAATACGCACTTGTCTTCCCCAGCATTTTTTTCTCACACTAAGTGGCAAGGAACTCTCTTTTGCTCCTATTATATACAAGTCCTACAAGTGCTCAGATAGGAGTGGAGTAGATCTATGCCAATGCCAGCCACATGGATCAACAATGATGGGTTTATTCCTTTGAGGAATCCAAGGAATGAGCTCAGAGGCTGCAATCTTGCCTTGGGTAGTTTGTGTGAGGGTTGAGTTCAATGCTTAGGACTGTCAGTCCTTGAGGTTCTGGTTCACCTTTCGCCTTTCAGTTTTGCTCTGCACTTGTGCAGGAACACTCCTGACTTGCCAGTTATTCCATAAGCCCTGCAGTGTCACCAAAACAAGTCCTTTTAGTGCAAAATATTATCGACATTTGCCTTTATTAATGACAGTGCAATAAGGAAAACTCAAGCCCATAGTAGCACTCCATCACCTTAAAGAAGGGATAAGAACATGAGAACCATTTTCTGGGGAATCCAAGGTAAAGTAAAATATGGGACCTACCCAGGCCAACCACCTTCCCTCAAGAGTACAAGAAATGGTGTTGTTTGGTGAATCTAATCCTGTCTGCTAGGGCAAAATAATGAGAACTCAAGAGAAAAAGGACAATGTTGTATCTGATGATGGTCCAAAAGATGAGTAGGGGATAGTGATCCACATACAAACTCCAGCCTGACCATCATGAGATGGGCAGAGACTGGGCTTTAGAGGCATCACAGAAGCATTACACCAAGACCACATTCTAAAGCTTCAGTGACCCTCACAGCCTGCAAACTTTCTGCCACTCCTTGCAAGAGTTAGTGGCCCTATAGATGAAAAAAAATCCATTAAATTAATATCTCAGGGAAATGAATGGGTATATATTGGATCAGAATCTGCAGAAATAATTTTATGTAATTACTAATTAATCCATCTTGAAATCAAGGACAATTTAAAAATTAAGACATTAATATAAAATTAGAGTCACTTGAAGTTTAGATGAAGGAAATACACAGTAAAAAATGTAGTTACATACCATTCTTATCTTCTAAATGAAGATATTTGGTGAAGCACAGATGGGCTACTGTATTCCTAATCCTCTGACCCATACAGATTGGCAGTGAGACAGTGTTCCCACTAAAACATCTCCCACTCCTTACTTTTCCACGTGGCATTGAAATACTACATTTAGGAACTCACTGACTCACTTAGGATGGCGGGTGCTGTACCAGAGAAAGGAAGCTGATTTCCTTTTCATATTATAAGCACACACAAAAGTGCTGGAAGCTTAGGAATCAGCTCTTAGAAAAAGCACCTAGAATAAAAAAGCTCTCAAAATCTTAACTACCAGAAAGTAATGGACCATTATACAGGAGAAGGGAAGCTGAAAAGTGTACTGAGGGTCTGACTAAGGAGTGGGCACAGCACTGTCCTGGACAGCTATCCCTGACCATTCCTGAAACTGCCAAAATTGTAATGGAGGGCAGCGCTGCTCACAAACCAGGCACACGCTCTGCAACTTGACAATGTCTATACAGGAGGGCTTCCAAATAAATTCCACCTTTGCTGAAAATTCTGGGCTGGAAGCTGCAGATTTGGACACCAGAGCAGTGACTCCATCAGCCACCTGAAGTTATACCATCCTGATAGGGTCATATGTCACTTAGCAATCACTTGAGAATCCCACTATAGAACAAGGAACGGATTTGGATTCCCAGCTCTCAAGGTTATCCATCAGAACCTTCTTCCCATACAGTAGGCAAGAACTTTTAATGGGAGCAGCTGCAAGCACCAGTGACCCTGAAAGTGACAGACATGTGGGTAAGGTGTCCCGGTGCTGCGTGGCACTCTGACAGAGACCTACACAAGAGGCAGGATTAAAGCAAACACAAGAAGAGATGCTGTTTAATTAGGACCTTCACAGAGAAACATCTGGTATAATTGGTTAAGGGGACGTCTTCACTCAGGCAACATTTATTGGTATATAAACAATGTCCAATTGGAAACGCTAATTAAACAGCAGGACTAAGGTAACAGAGTTTTGCCTGCCTGACTAGGACATAAGGTTTATAATCCGTGCTGTTATGGGACAACAGCAAGAACAAATAATTGTGTATTCAACAAGTCAATTATGCCCTTCTTTTTGTAATAACATGCTCCAGAGGTCAAGAGAATACTTTAAGTAACATCGCCAGTATTCGATAGTGATTGAAGCTTGATTGCTGTTCAGTGTTTGTGAGGAAACTGGCAGCAGTAGGACAAGCCTGACAGATATTTCCCCTATTTAGTGGTACGTTATTTGCCCATCACCACAATGCTCCAGGCACCCTCATGCCCTCTGGTTACACTGAACAAATTCTCCTGACTTTGAGCCATCTGCCCTGTAACAGTTTCTTAGGAACTCATATCATTAACCATATATTATTTTGAAATCTCCTTTTAAAGCAAGCCTACTTACAAGTAATAGTCATACTTATTTAAATGTATATATATAAATGAGTATCACTATTTGCATTATTTCAACTATATATATATATATATATATATATATATATATATATATAGTTGAACTACTGCAAAATCAACGACAGGTACACACACATCCATGTAGCTACAAATTCAGTGATAAATCCATCTGGCAGATCTTTTCCAGAAGATCCTTTTGCAATGGCTGCAGCCTGGCTTTACCTGCCTAACCCCTCCGGATTGCCTCCAGGTCAATCATAGGAAAGCCTCCACCTTCTGCAGCATCTCCAACATCATTTCTACTTGGCAGAACTACACCTGCCATTACAATCCCTTCAAAGACAGTCTCTGTAACAAAGAAAATTCCACTTTATTAACTTCCTCCTTGCT